TCAAGGAAGGAGTGATTGTGATTAACTGTCACGTTGCAGGTCTGTCAATAAGACAAACTTTGGTAATTAGCCATTGATTTAGCCACAAGGAGATCATTGCATTCCTTAACAAGAACAGTTTCAGTAAAGTATGAGGATGAAAGTCAAAAATGGATTTATTCAAAAAAAATAGAAGGGAAATTTAACAAAGTGAGAATAGGTAGTTCTTTTGAGACCTGTAAAATAGAGACTGGCGAAGGGGCCACAGATGTGGGGAGATGCAAAATCTTTTCCCTTAGAGTGGCAATATAAATATAAATGTGTATACTTATATAGCTGATGGTAGTAAACAGCAGAGTGAGAAATTCAGAGAAGAGAGAATTGCTGGATTGAAGTCCTTCAGTGGACACGAGAAGAGGAGGTGCGGTGTGCAGTGGAGGGGGTGACCTTGGAGGGGGGCAGACATCCAGTACGCTTTGGTGGAGCTAAGGGAAGACTATGGGCACAGATGCAGGGAGGTAAGTAGATGTGATGTGGGGACATGGGGAGGTTCTTTTCCGATGGGTTCTGTTTTCTCAGTGAAGTAAGAAGCAGTCGTGAGCTGAGAGTGAGTAGCTGGAGGGGATGGAAATTTGAGTTTAGAGAGGAAGTTTTAAAGTAGCCCTCTGGGGTGGCGCCTATGGCTCAGTGAGTAGGGTGCTAGCCCCATGTATGGAGGGTGGTGGGTTCAAACCCAGCCCTGGCCAAAAATTGCACACACACACACACAAAAAAAAATATATATATATATATACATACGGCCAGGTATTGAGGCAGGTGCCTATAGTCCCACCTACTGGGGAGGCTGAGGCAGGAGAGTCGCCTAAGCCTGAGAGCTAGAGGTTACTGTCAGCTGTGATGCCATAGCACTCTACCCAGGGCGATAAAGTGAGACTCTGTCTCTAAAAATAAATATATACATATATATAAAATAAAATAGTCCTCTGGGAAATGGATAGTGGTGGGATTAGGGAAATGTGGATGGGTTGTCAAGCATCACTAGGGAGTCCCCTTGAGGTTAGTCGTCATGAATTTAAGGTGAAACCTGTCGGTAGGACGGTGGGCATTTCTCCAGTGATGGTCAGCCACCCTGGTAGAGAGGCAGAGTGGGCAGATAATTAGATTTAACCAGGGCTGAGATTTGGCTAGGTGAACGTGCTGACGGGAGAGAGAAGGAAGGAAGCTGATCCTGCAGGCAGGGAGTGAGTATAGCTCCGGTGGGTGGGGATCTAATCGGAGTGAAGAAAATGACGTGCTGGGCTGCAAGACAGGATGGAGCTTGAAGCATTGATGGATTTTTGTTTCTGATATGGCAGAAGGACCAGCAAAGTCAGGAATTTGAAGCTTGAACTTGAGATGTGGGGCAGGTGCAGATATGTTGATATGATCTAGAACTGTGATTCTCAATGAGGGGTTGATTTCTCCACTGAAAGGGGTGGGCATTTGTGATGTCTGGAGACATTTTTGATTATTGCAAGTGGAGGTGGAAGAAATGCTACTGTGTCTTAAAAAGGCCAGGAATGCGGCTCAGCCTTCTCCAATGCACAGGACAGTCCCGCAAGCAAAGATTATCCAGCCCTGTTGTCATTAGTGCTCAGTTGGAAGCACTGCTTTAGGGTATGACCATAGGAATGAATGGCAGGATAGGCCTGAGTTTATCCAGATGACAGGAGGAGAGAAAATAAACGAAGAGACCAGTGTTTTAGACGGTTTATCTTATGACTACAGGAGTAGGAATGGAGAAAAAGATAGGGAGGATGTTAACTTGCTGTGTATGGAGTCTCTTGCTTTTTTCTGGAGTTGGAATTCATAATGCTGGCTCTAAGAGCCATGGGTTCAGATTAGCCAAAGAGTGATGGTATATATTTTTTAAAAGCCACTTGTGTATTAGCCAGCTCTGGTGTAACTAAACCAAATAGCCAAATAAATTACCTACAAGCCTTTTGGCAATCTCGGTTAGTGTTTTTGCCCGAAATTCTGTGACTGTAAACTTGAACTTGTGGCCTAGTCCCTACTTTAAATAATGCCTCTGGGTAACAGTTCTTGCAACCAGGCCTTGAGGCAGGAATCTGGTTCAAGAAAATCCATGAGAAACTTTATTCACGGGCTTTAGAGACTGTGACTTTCCTAGCAGTGCTCATCCCCTTGGAGAAAACTAGTCAAAATCACACAGAATGAATACGGGTTGCAAACCCGGGCTGCTTCCTGGAACAAGCTGGTCAACTTGTCTAGTCTTGTGCTTTGTCCTTCATTTTGAACTCCAGTGCCCCGAGGCTGCTTCTCTGCCCTCCCACAATAGCAAGCCACATCTTTTGTTTGTTTCTCATCTGAAAGAGAGGCTTGTTTTGAGGTTTGGACCACAAATAATAATCCATTGTTCCCTATAATAATAATCTACCCTCTTTAGCAGAAAAAAAATCCACTTGATGCAGTGTGGCTATCAGTTTATTTAAAAGAATAGCCAAAAGTGTTCATTGTGTCCTGAGAATAAACATTTGGAAGACGGTTGGGAGGAACGGGGGAGAACTCTTGTTCTCCTTGGCCCAGAGTCATAGTTAAGCCCTCCGGAAGAAAAAATTCTGAAAATGACTATCGGTTCTAAGTGACAATACCCTTCTTTATTCTGCCCATCTGTTACATTCTAAGAATAACTGGAACACTATAGATATTTATTTTGAACTATTTCTTTAAAAAAAATCTTATTTTGAAAGTCAGTGTTTTTATGTTACCAGTTTTAAGCTGGATGTTTCTTTCTAACCTTCATTTAGTGTGTGAAGGTGTTTCTTTTTGAGTGAAGACTGTCTTCTTTTAGCAATAATCCTTAACAATTCTTGCAGTTGCCTGTGATTACAGATCTTGAAAAAAAAGCTTTTTTATATTCCAAGTGATAGACATATTTTAATCACTACTTCCTGGACTTAGGCTAACTGAAAAACCTGGATAAGTAAAATGAAAATGTGATAAGTGCAATCAACTATTTCCTGAGTACACACATACTTAGCACACTGAAATCTTATGGTGTATAAGATTTCACTAGCAAAACCAAAATAGGTAAATAACGTCTTTCTGCATTATAGGAAAAATACCAGATAAGTAATAATATGACTTTAAAATGAAGTAATATGTCTTACTCAGAAGAGTTTTAATTGCTTTATATAGAGAAGGTGAGAAAAGTTCAATGTGAGAACAATTGTAGGTGGCGCCTGTGTTCAAGGAGTAGGGCTCCGGCTCCATATACCGAAGGTGGCGGGTTCAAACCTGGCCCCGGCAAAAACTGCAAAAAGAAAAAAAATATATAGTATAACAGGTGAATATGAGGGCTGTTCAAAGAAGTAAAAATATGGCCTTCATATCATTAAAAACAGACCATCGGGGAAGTGACCAGGCAGTCCTTCAGTGGGTGAATGAGTAAACTGTGCTACATCTATACCATTTAATATTATTCAGCAATAAAAAGAAATGAGACTTCAAGTCACAAAAGGACATGAAAGATGATTAAGTAAATATTGCTAAGTGAAAGAAGCCAGTCTGAAATGGCTGCCTACTATATTATCCTATCAATGTGATGCTCTGGAAAAGACAAAAATATAGAGGTGTAGTACAAGGTCAGTGGTTGCCAGGGGTTTGGGAGAAGGAGGGAGGAATGAATTGGTGGAACGTAGCAGGTGTTTTAGGACAATAAAACTATTCTATATGGTAAGGTAATGGTGGAGCCATGTCATTGAATACATTTGTTAAAATACACAGAATGTACAACACAAAAGTTAACCCTAATATAAACCGTGGGTCATCAGTTGAGACAAATGTACCACCCTGATGGCAGAGGTTAATCACAGGGGAAACAGAGAGTGGGGATTGGAGTGTGAGAACCGTCTACTTTTCCACTCAGTGTTTCTGCAAACGTACAACCACTCTTTAAAACATCTTTTATTAGCAATAAGATATTTGCATCAGATTGTTCATTGCAGCTCAATTCATAATTGCCAAGTCATGGAAGAAGCCCAAGTGCCCATCGTCCCATGAATGGATTACTAAATTGTGGTATATGTATACCATAGAATACTATGCAGCATTAAAAAAAAATGGAGACTTTACCTCTTTTATGTTTACATGGATGGAGCTGGAAAATATTCTTCTTAGTAAAGTATCTCAGGAATGGAAAAAAAATATCCAATATACTTGGTACTAATGTGAAACCAATTTATAATCACTCACGCTTGCATATGAAACATGAAACACAACTATAGCCTGGGATGAAGGAGGGGAGGGGAAGGGAGAGGGGGATGGGTCGATAGAGGGAGGGATAGTCGGGGGACCACACCTATGGAGCATATTGCAAGTACAAGTTGGATCTATCAAGTGTAGAACACAAATGTCTTAACACTGTAATTGGGTAAATGAGGTGAAGGCTATGTTGATTAGTAGGATGTAAGCCCTCCAATTTGTACAAATAATCAGCACATTGAATCCCATAATGGAATAAATGTATTCATGATCTATGTGCAAATGACTTAATAAAAAAAATAAATTGAGAAAAAGCCTGATAGAAGTATAATGAGAACAGATCTTTTAATTTAAAAAGCATAAGTATAGCCAAACTAATGAAAATATTTTCTTTCTTTTTTTTTTTTTCTAAGACTAGTCAAGTGCAGTCGTGAGAAGAGGGGGAAGAGTAGAAGAAGGAGTTCAGTCTGTAACTGTGAACAATCAAGTGAGATAACTCACTGCCTTCAGACCAGCCAAAATATTTTCTTAACTAAAAATCAAAGACAGTACACAGCTCAGACTGCCAGTGACAGGAAGTACTTAGCTATAGGATGTCCTGCCAGAAGTGTGTGGTAAATGGCAGTGGATCACTGTATATATCTGGAAACTTTCTTCTATCTTTTCTTTGTCCTCTCCTGTGAAAAATATGCATAGTAGTGTTTATGCTAAATCCTACTCTTAAACTATCCTTTCTCTTTTTTCTCCTTTCTCTCCAGTGACAGCTAGAGTATCCGCCTTGGAGGTCTACACACCAAAAGAAATCTTTGTGGCAAATGGGACCCAAGGAAAGCTGACATGCAAGTTCAAGTCTACCAATACCCCCGGCGGGTTGACCTCGGTCTCCTGGAGCTTCCAGCCAGAAGGAGCTGACACCACTGTGTCGGTAGGAATGCTTGGGTGCTCGTGGCTGGTCCTGCCGCGTGTGTTTCTTTACTGCTGGGGTGCAGTTCATGATCCATTCTCCTGATCATGCATTTCCAAAATGAGTGTATCTATCCTCTATTAGAGCCTGCAAGGCCTTTCTCTAGCTTCAGCATCTCTTAAGTGCGCTCTTTTCCTTGTCTTTGCACGTCATTCTCCCCTTGCTATCCCCTCAGTTGCTCGCCACCTTCAACTCCTATTCTGAAGTTGATCTTTTCCACAGAGCAGCCCTTAATTGACCATGCCAACACTAATCAGGATTTATCCTCCATCTCATCAGCTTTTATTTGCCCTCTTTTTATTCTATCTTTTACCTGTTACTATATGATACATATGTGTGTGTATGTGCTCCCTTCTGATTTGATTATGAATTTCTTGATTTCATTTATAGGCCATTTGATTTGACAATATTTATTGAGAGCTTAACATGAAGTGGGTAGGTAGGGCCTTCAAAAGTATCTAAATAACAGCCTTTACTGTCACCCAGAGAGTGATCAGGAGTTAAGACTGGTGTATATGTGACTTCAGGGTAAGATGAGGGGCACAACAGTAATAGAACACCAAATGTTAGTGAGTTACTAGCTGAGTACTGGTTATACAGTGGGTGCTTGTTAAACATAGACTGAGTATTTTGAATTTTTTTGAGACAGAGTCTCACTATGTCACCCTTGGTACAGTTCCATGGTGCCACAGCAACCTCAAACTCTTAAGCTTAAGTGATTTTCTTGCCTCAGCTTCCCAAGTAGCTGGGACTACAGGCACCTGGCACAATGCCCAGCTACTTTTTGTTGGTGTTGTTGTTGCAGTTGTCATTATTATTTAGCAGGCCTGGGCCAGGTTCGAACCTGCCTGCCTGGGTGTATGTGGCTGGCACCCTAACCACTGAGCAACAGAAGCCAAGGCAGACTATTCTGATTCTTGTTCATTAGATGGAGATAATACACTTTCCCACACGGGAGTGTTAGGAGAATAAAGTGAGATTATATAAGGTAAGTGCACAGGATGGTGTCTAACTGTTGAGGTACAGATACAACTGTTATGTTGCTGTTGTTCTCTCAGCCTGTTGAGTGTCCTTTCAATAGAGGCACATACCGTAGCAATGTTGTGCATTTCAGATTGTCCATATGTGGCAGGGACAGGGTCTGCATCTACTTTTAAGCAAGAATCCTTGGCTCTTCTCTCAAATGATGACCAGTTACATTTGTCCATCCCCACCCAGATGCTAGGCCCATTGTATACCCACATCATTGAATCTTCATGCCTCTGTGAGGAAGGAACACTTTCCTCCCCTCTCTAGGTGAGAAGGGAGTAGAGGATGGGAATACGGCTCAAGAGTTGTTATTCCTCATGGCCACACCATACGGGTCAGAATTGCTCAAACTTTGTTGCATTGAACCCCAACTACTATATTTTTCCCCTTATATATTTATTTCTCTGTCTGATAGGAAAGCCTGTTTATAATATTTACTGCATATAGGCTTTAGGGATTGCTTAAAGCAGTGCTCAGAAATTTTTAAAATTTATATTTATTTATTTATTTATTTTTTAGAGACAGAGTCTCACTTCATTGCCCTTGGTAGAGTGCCGTGGAGTCACAGCTCACAGCAACCTCCAACTCCTGGGCTTAGGCGATTTCTCCTGCCTCAGCCTCCCAAGTAGTTGGGACTACAGGCGCTCACCACAATGCCTGGCTATTTTTTGTTGCAGTTTGGCCAGGGCTGGGTTTGAACCCGCCACCCTCCAAATATGGGGCCGGCACCCTCCTCACTGAACCACAGGCGCCACCCTAAAATTTATATTTAAAAGGAACCTTTTTCTTAATCTCTGCCCCTTCCCATTAAATACTATAGATATACCGTATATCTGTGCTTTATATAACCTTCTCAAACCTTCCCACCCTATAGCCAATGCTTGCTATATGTAGTACTGCCCTTATTGAGAATGCCTGGCCTGGAGATTTTTGTAAGACCCTCCCTGAGAGCAGGAATCCATACAAATGTCATGGGGAAACAGATGCAGAGCCATTCCCTTGCTTCACGTAAATATGGTATCAGCACAGGACATACACTATTGTTCCTACAGAGACAAAACATGTTACGTTTACTCAAGAGAGTTCAAAGAACTATCTAAACTTGTGAGGATTTCCCACTGAAGTCTTCTGCAGCAGTGGATGTGAGGGCCATTATTTAGTTCATAGAAAATAAAGCAGTAGTCAGAAGACACCTAGAGGTAATAGCGTGCTTTTTAAAGAGTGCTTCCATTTCTACTCAAAACCTTCTTGTCATGTGGATTAAGGGAGGTTTATAGAACTCAAGACTTAAGAACAAGCCATATTTCTGATTAATGTGTTTGGCTCATTAGTTTATATTTACATGTTCGCCTGCTTACAGTTAACTCCAGAATGCTCAATTATTGGTTTAGGAGCCAAAATGTCAGAACACATTTAATAGAAGATAAGCAGGTTGCTTTTTGTTTTTGTAGGTTTTAGGGAAAATTATATTCAAACCTAGCATATCATAGATGGCTTTTCTGGTCCATGGACTCAGGATCCACAGGTCTAAAACAGAGCTTTTTTTTTTTTTTTTTGAGACAAAGTCTCAGGCTGTCACTCTGGGCAGAGCAGCATGGTATCACAGCTCACAGCAACCTCAGACTCTTCTGCTTAAGTGATTCACTTGCCTCAGCCTCCCAGGTAGCTGGGACTACAGGCGCCCACCACAAGGCCCAGCTATTTTTTTGTTACAGTTGTCGTTGTTTAGTAGGCCCAGGCCAGGTTCGAACCCGCCAGCCCCGATGTGTATGGTTGGCACCCTAACCACTGAGCTACAGGCGCCGCCCACTCTGGGGGAGGTTCTTGTCCTTTTCTCCACCATCCCCTGCCCCTGAAGAACCTGTGCTGGCTCTTCCCTCTTCATTGCTGGCATCTGGCTTTTTGTCAGCCTTGTGCCTCTGTGGTCTCTGTTGAACAGTGTTAGGCCTGGACTGGCAGAGCAGCCCCTGGTTGTTTTTCTACTTCTGTTTTTACATCTTGCAGTTTAACCCTCACCTGCCCGCAGTGCGTAGCCTGAAGAGTTCTTTTGCCTTGCCACTGCTCTTGACAGAAACCCCCTAGATTCCCACTGGCTGGCAGTGCTTGTTTAGAATTTAAAGCTCATTACAATTCAGCCCAGCCTACCCAGCCTCACTTCTGCTGTCTTATGTGATTCCTTCCATCTAGTAAAAATGCCTTACGCCTTGTTTTCCTGCTTCTGAACCCCCCCCATTTGAGGCGGACCTCATCTTTACCTTCCCAACGCTCCTCCCCGTCCTCACTTCTCTTTTCTAACTCTTTAGCTCTTCAGACTCACTTCTCACATACGCGGGCCACTCCTATGTTACGGATCATTTAATATGACGGGCTTTCTCTTCTTTATCTGAATACAGGTATTTTAACAGCAGACACCTGTCTTACATCTTGAGTATATCTCATAGCTTTAGCACGGTGGCTTACACTTAAAAAATATTGGTTGACAATGAGATCTAGTCTTATCTGTGACTTTTTTACTACTTCATTTCTGTTGTTTCACTGGTGTGACCAAAGTATTACTCCTCAATTCAGTTCAGCAAACTTATATAGTCCCTGCTACACGTAGAGTGCTGAGTCATGCAGAGATAAATACACGCACACCTTCTCCCTGGCCTTCATAGGGTCCCAGTGTGAGGAGGGAGACTGACGGAGGGAGCAGCAGAATGCAACCCCACTGATGGTTCAGAAAGGCAAGGCAGGGAGTATCTGGAGATGATGTGGTCAGGGAAGACAGAAACCAGATGATAGAAGGGTTTTTCTACTAAGCTTGGAATTTCTGGTTTATTTGCGTGTGATAAAGAGAGTGTAAGATTTTGAGCAGACAGGCATGAGAGGCGGTTATTAATGGAGACAGCATAAGCTTTGAAATCAAAGTTCAAAGCTAAGTTTAAACTCCATCTCTAAAACCTATGACCTTGAGCAGGTTACAGGCTTTTCTGAGCTTCCCTTTCCTCATTGTGAAGTATCAGGCAGGGTGGTTATGAGCATTGGCGAGATGCTGGGAGATAGTTTTCTTTGGGTCTTTCCCCTCTCTGCACATCTTGCAAACAGGGGCACTGGCTACCTTTGTTCTCAACTTTCTTTGTACAGTGATTGGTCTTGGAGGACAGAGATAACATTTCTCTCTGGAGTGGAGGACAGATTTGTTTATAGTAAAGATAGTATCTCCCTACAGGGCAAAAGTCAGACATACAGTCTGCCCATTGTAAGAGATTTGAGTTCCCTAAGCTTGGGGTTCCTCAGCTGTGATGCAGGGCCTCTGCGCGTACAGCTTCCATGTGAGCCCCTCCATACCATCCTTGTGGGACATGGGGGGCAGGGGCAACAGATCAACACATGCTTCCTGCTACAGTGTAAGCCACAGGTAGGTTCTTTGCCTCTGAGTCTTCTTCATGGGAGTAAACACTTCACAGGAGTCTGTGTCTTGTACCAGCATCTGCGAACCTGTGCCAATCTAACTTTGCTAGCTTGTAAGCAGGGTGCAATCCCAGGCCCTTCATTGTTAACAAGCCTTTAGATCAGTGGTTCTCAACCTGTGGGTTACGATCCACAGGAACTGTATTAAAGGGCTGCAGCATTAGGAAGGTTGAGAACCACTGCCTTAGATCATATTAGATATAGGCTGCATATTTGATTAATGGTAATCAAATCCATCTTCCACAGAGGATAATTAGATGGTAGTAATTATTATTATTTAGGCATCATAGAGGATAGCTTAGAGAAAGTTGAGCTGGAGTTCAACATAGCAGTTAAAAGGACTCAGTCCAAAGTGACAAGAGCATGAAATCAGGTGTCATCAGTGGAAATTGAATAGAGAGGTGAGAACTAAGAGAGACTTATGAGGTAGATTAACAAAATTGGCAGATTAATTGGATGGGAAGGAAGAGGAATGAAGGTTTGCTTCAAAATTTATGGTTTGGGAGACAGATGGTCCCCATTCGTCAAGATGAGATACACAGATACAAGATGAAGTTTGTAGGAGAACATGGAAAGCTTGGGGGACTTGGGCAGCTGGGGTGAAGTGAGTAGGCAAATTTGGGAGGAACCAAGAGACACTATTGATGGAGAGAGAGGTTTGGGAGTTAACAGAATACAGATGGTACTTAAATCATGGGAACAATTGCACAGAGGTTTTTAACATGCTCAGAAGGTTCTGAAGATGTTCTGTTTGAATTGTTGGTGGAGCTGGTTTCTACCCCAAGACCCACCTCCATCCCATCTGTGAAGCAGAACAAAGACATGAAGCCTCCAGCCGAGCTGCCTGGGGTCAACCTGAGAGTGAGGGTAGGTCCCCTCCCACTGGGCTTCACCTTGCTTCCAAGGTGCTGGGCTGGACAAGGTTTACTCTGAGAAACAAGTTTCTTTGCTAAGGGCAGGTCTGAGGAACGAGTGAGGAGAAGAAAGAGTAAGGGGCTGGAAGCTGAACCTTCAGAGTCAGGCGAAAGCGTTTTGTTATCTGAGTTGTGTTCCTTTCACACACTGTGACTTATCCATAGGAGACCAATAAGAGGGAGAAACCCAGAGATGTAACTGATCTGTGACATTTAGGATTCTTTCTCATTGTGCCTTTCTGTATCTCAGTGGTAAACTTTGTGAACTGTAAGATTGCTGAAGCCTTCGGATTCACTGGGGTCAAACAAGGAATAGCCTTCGCTTTGAAGAGTCAGATGGGTCAGACTCTGACTCCACGTGACCTTGGGGAAATAAATGGCTTTTTTGAGTCTCCATTTTCTTATGTGGATGGTAATAATTATACAGTGGGCTATGGAGAGGATTAGAGATGCTATACAAGTCTGTTTCTTCAACTATTACTTGGCAGGGTTGAATCCCTTGATCTCTAACCCTCTGTCTGACTTAGATCCCATAGCTTGAGGTTTATATCATAACGTTGCTTTTCTTTCTGTGTGAAGCCTTTTTTCACAGCATGCCTGTTATGGAGTTTAGAGATTCTGCCTTTGAGAATAACTCACATGTTCTTTTTTGTAATTGCAGTTTTTCCACTATTTCCAAGGGCAAGTGTACCTTGGGAATTATCCACCATTTAAGGACAGAATCAGCTGGGCTGGAGACCTTGACAAGAAGGATGCATCGATCAACATAGAAAACATACAGTTCATACACAATGGTACCTACATCTGTGATGTCAAAAACCCTCCTGACATTGTTGTCCAGCCTGGACACATCAGGCTGTACGTCGTAGAAAAAGGTACTTCCTTGGGTATTTTTGCAGTGATAATGCAATCTCCTCTGTCTTGTGTTTAGTTGGAGAACAGGGATCCATTTCAAGTTGTGTTTGAAGGTAGTATTTTTGCCATACAGTTGGGGCACTGTTGCTCATTCCAACCAAAGCCGCTGATTTCTCCATTTTTATTCCTACTGTCTGGAGCCTCTTGATCTGATTCCAGGACTATTAATTTTTCAGTGTTAATTATTGTAGAAGAAAGATCAAATTCATTGTGGTTGGATGTGGTGGGCAGTGGGAAAGAAAGAGATTAATACCATGTTATATTCTTTAGGAGAAAGTTTTGACATTTCCAAAAACCCTTTAAGGATTTCTTCTTTTATTAGAACAGGCAGGAAATGCAGGTTCTGGTGTCTCATTTTGAGACAAAGTCTGCTTTGTTGGAGACTAGACTGAGGTAAATTCACATCACTTTTTCTTTGATTTCAGAGCATTGAGAGGGATCATGGATGTAGAAATGCTTAGTTCTGTAGTTCATTCCTATTTATCTAATATGTGTATTTATCAATTAGATACTAGGATCTCACAATTTGGATAATAGAAGAGTAGGGTAACTGTTAGAGGAAGACACTTGGTATTAATTTAACAAAATTCCATTTTTTCTTTCACTAGCGATGTACCATAAAACTATTTTGTTCTTTCTCTCTAGAGAGTTTGCCGGTGTTCCCAGTGTGGGTAGTGGTGGGTATAGTTACTGCTGTGGTCGTAGGTCTCACTCTGCTCATCAGCATGATTCTGGCTGTCCTCTATAGAAGGAAAAACTCTAAACGGGATTACAATGGGTAAGAAACACTTTTTTAGAAGGGGGTGGAGGGGTAGCATCAGAGTTTATAGAAACGTGTGTAGTTTTTAATGGGAAAAGGATTGTGAAGAATTAACTACTGTTTGCTTTCATGTTCGAATCGGGCTGTCCCCTCAGGAGGTGTTCTGACACGGGTGAGTAGACATCAGTGCCCGACTGTTAAATTTGGAATATGATCCTAATCCTGCTTCTCCGGGTTCCTTCTTAGGTTTGGTGAAATGAACTGCTCACAGTCTGTGCTGTGTTTCAGCACTCTTGCTTCTGAAATCTGTATTGTTTTTTTTTTTTTTGCAGTTTTTGAACCGGCCACCCCCAGTATATGGGGCACCATACTCCTTGAGCCACAGGAGCCACCCTGAAATCAGTATTCTTTATTTTTTTATTTTTATTTTTTGCAGTTTTTGGCCAAGGCTAGGTTTGAACCCACCACCTCCGGCGTATGGGGCCGGTGCCCTACTCCTTTGAGCCACAGGTGCCGCCCTATGAAATCAGTATTCTTAAGCTAAGCTACAGACATCACTTACCCAATTTAAGAGCTTAGTTTTAATTTCTTAGCAATAATCTCTTAAGGTTCTTTTTAGTTGGGTAAGTATAAAAAACCTAATCAAGAAGTTGTGGGCTGGGCATGGTGCACCTGTAGTCCCAATTACTCAGGAGGTTGAGGCGTGAGGATCACTGGGCCCAGGAGTTTGAGTCCAGCCTGGGCAGCATAGGGAGACCTCATCTCTCTCTCTCTCTCTCTCTTTTTTTTTTGCCTTCAAATTCATTCTACTACATCTGGATATACCTGATATTAAAATTAGAAAAGTATATTATTATAAGGGAAATTACAGACATATTTCACTTATAAATAAGGATGCAATATCCTAAACAACATATTAACAAGTTGACTTAAAAGTTATTTTTCAAGCAGCACTTGTGGCTCAAAGGAGTAGGGCGCCAGCCCCATATACCAGAGGTGGCAGGTTCAAACCCAGCCCCGGCCAAAAACTGCAAAAAAAAAAAAAATAATAATAAGTTTTTTTTCAAATAATGTACTTTGGTCAAAATTAAATCCAACTTATGTGAGAATTAGTCACTATTTTTTTTCTTTTCCTTCCCCCACTTCTCTCTCTCTGATCTCCCCTTCCCCCACCCCCACCCTGTTGTGTCATTAATTGTCATTAATTGTCCTCATATCAAAGTTGAATACGTAGGATTCATGCTTCTCCATTCCTGTGATGCTTCACTAAGAATAATGTGTTCCACCTGCACCTGAGTTTCACCTGGGATCCTGTAATCCCATTACTGGACACCTATCCAGAAGGGAAAAAAACCTTTTATTATAAAGACCCTTGTACTAGACTGTTTATCGCAGCTCAATTTACAATTGCCAGAATGTGGAAACAGCCTAAATGCCCCTCAACCCAAGAATGGATTGGCAAGCTGCGGTATATGTATACCATGGAATACTATTCAGCCATTAAAAAAATGGAGATTTTGCAGCATTTGTATTAACCTGGATGGAGGTAGAGATCTCACCTCTTTAAAACAAAAAATGAAGTGTTAATACACTACCACCCTCAGCCTCATGTGATGATATACCGGCAGTAAGGAAAAGTAGACTTTCTTTTTGTTTATGTCTTCTCAAAAGGAACCCATTTGAGCATAGAGTATATGTCTCATTGAAGGACCTCCTCCTTTCTCTACTCCAGCAAGACAGCTAACCCGTATGAGTTATATAAAAGTCACGTGGTAAGACTGGAGCTGCAGGCTGGATGCAGCATGAGCAGTGTCACAGATGCACAGAACTAACTTTAACCATCTCGCAGGGGCTGTGATTTCAGAGGGATGCATGCCCTGAACACTCTTGCTGGTGGACGGTGGGATCCGCTCTCTATGGTTCTAATGATCTAGTGTTCAGGAGTGGTTTGTTTTAACACGTTTGAGTGCTCAAATTCAGATATGACTTGCTTGGAATGGCTCTGTTCTGCTGACTGTATCTGCCCCCTTGCATGGTGAGTGTCTTATGATTAAGTATTGCTAGATTGTTGGTTTACGGTGTGAGACTAATCCAGGGTGGTAATCTGCCAGAGTTTGCGGTTCTTGTTTCTGGGGCTCATAAAGGGGTAGGGAAGTCTTCCTTAGAATCCTAACCCTGCATGGCATCATGAGTGCTGCTATGCTTCTTACTTTGATTTTTTTCCTCCTCTCCTGCCTTTTCTCCCTTGGTGTGCTGGGATCAGATCCTGCTTATCTTCTACTTCTTAAGAAAAGCTGACATAGAAGACACATTGAGACTATAGCAGGGCTGAGTCTCCTCTTCCACTCGCACTAGACACATGGTAACTAATCACATTGCCTGTTGCTTGTTAATATTCATGTGTACGTATTCGGCTCATCTGAATACGTTGTTGACAACTAACCCGAAAGCTGGCTCTGAGCTAACCCGAAGGCTACTATGTTTGGTCCACAAATATGTCATGCGTCTGTATTAGAACCATGTTGAGCATACCACCCAGCCAGTTGTCAAGTTGCATAGGGCTTTGTGGTCATCTGAATATATATGCTCTTCGTGGAAAACACATGTGTGTGTATGTATGTGTGTTTGTTTTCTTTTCATACATGAGTTGTATTATTACTGACCGAGACCCTCTTTGCGGTAGAATTATCACACCATTTAGGTTCAGAAAATAGAGCCTCCCATTTCAAAGAAGTCACAGTTTGCAGAATGCTTTGGTCTTAGTAAAGACACTTTAAATATGGTCCTCCCAAACCCCTAAGGTTTTTGAAAAATATAAAAGATCTAAGCTGTGCTGATGACACATTTCATTAGGAAATCCCTCCTTTTAGTCACTTTCCCTGATTTACTTAGTACTTGCCGTATAAGTCCCCTATGCCCCTAAAAAAGCACAGCCTGTGTCCTGGGGCATTTCATAGTTTCTCATCATTCACAACCTCCTAGGGTTTGGGGGGGTTGGTTGAGGTATTGATAGGGAATAAACTATGGAGGGAACAAAATAAGCCAGGACTGTGAGCCTGGGGATGTGAATCTGTAATTTTAAAAATATACTCAGAAGAGGCTTCCCTTTGATGGTAACAAAAGCTACTTGCCATTAGGACATTAAGAGGGCACCGCATAGCTTGCTCCTTTAAGCCTTTATCCCAAAGGAGGGTTGGTGGGGAAAAGACAAAGCACCGAAAGGATCGTGTGTCTTGTGACCGGAATCACAATGTCATTGCTATAAGCGAGGGTGAAGAGGTGGTGGGTAGCGCACTGGCTCCTGTGCCTTCCTCAGTGGCACGCTCACTGACTTAGGACAATGAGCGAGTGTCAGGGACAGAAAGCAGTTTCAAGACATGTGATCTCTCTGATATCCATTGTTTCGTTGTCTTTTGTTTTTATACATCTGCCGCTTCATCTTGCCGTCACTTGCGTTTCTATGTTTCTGTTTCTGTTTAATTTTTTGTTTTTGTATTTTTTCTCCAAATTGTCAATTCATCAGCTGCAGTACATCAGAAAGTTTGTCACCGGTTAAGCAGGCTCCGCGGAAGTTCCCCTCCGACACAGAGGGTCTAGTAAAGAGTCTGCCTTCTGCATCTCATCAGGTAATGGCTGATTGCAGGTCTGCCCCGCTGCCTCAGGGTCTCTGCTCTGTCCCTCCGTGGGTGTGGGAAGGAATCCTCAGCTGTGCGTGAGGGAGACAGAGGCAGAGCAGGGAGGGAGAGGGGAACTGAAGGACTCATCTAGGAGGACCGCAAGAAAGTGGGTAGGGAAGAAACGGAACTGGAAAATAGGTTTCCACAAAACCACCACTGACATAAATTGTTGACTAATAATATGGCTCCTCTGGCCCAAGTAGAATTAGAGAATAGTTTTGTCAAATGAAAAGATTCTTCTTTAATTTCTTGGACAAAAATAATTTTGTCAAATGTAAAAGATTCTTCTTTAATAAGACAAGCAAGTGGCTCGGCGCCTATAGCTCAACCGGCTAAGGCGCCAGCCACGTATACCTAAGGTGGTGGGTTTGAATCCCCAGCCCGGACCCGCCAAACAACAGTGAGGGCTGCAACCAAAAAATGGCCGGGCGTTGTGGCGGGCGCCTATGGTCCCAGCTACTTGGGAGGCGGAGGCAGAAGACTCGCTTGAGCCCAGGAGTTGGAGGTTG